AGTTTTATGCCAGGCCCAGAATGCATCGCAGGGCCAAAGTAATGGGGGTCCTACCAGACTCCGTCCGACCACTAATTCTGGTCATTATTGTTTTTTTGGATTTGCTTCCACATTTTTCCTCCCAAAAAAGGAAGCAGCTTTGTGATGGGTTAGGTCCCTGAGATGCTGTTTCATAAAGTTTTATGTGTGAATTAAATAAGAGACGGACACACACAAAAACCATTTATTTTTATTTTACTTTTATTAGAAATGGTCCAAAGCGGCTATGACAGTCACTGAGAAAGGATGTATTTAGTTCTAAAATCGTTTATGCACCATCCATCTATGCATGCGTGTGGGTGGGTGGGTGTCTACACTCACACACACAGTGGTTAAGCAGAACCGAATGAAACTTACCCTGAATCTCACATAGAGAAAAGGTGAGGTCTTGTTACATCAGGAAAACCCTCTACAAGAATTTACAAATGTTATTAGACATCCATTTTAAAGTAAGACATTTTGACCGGACCAGATGGCCAGGACTTTGTTCCGCGCGCTGTTGGGGGGGTTGGAAATGCTGAGAGCTCAGCCTTAAGCACCGCGCCACCAGGGCCCTTCTCTTGGGCATGGAGCATGCATTCGGAGCCCTCTCACCGGGTGCTAGGGGCTCTTTGCAGCCCTTTGTTTTTAAACATTTTGTTATCTTTTCACTGAAAGTTTACAAAGCAAATGGGTTTTGCATTCAGTAGCTGACACACATTTTGCTCCTGTGATATTGTTGCATCCCCTCTGGGAACAGCACTCCTTCCACTTCCTGCCTGGGTCTCGGGTTCAGTTCACCCTGCCTGCCTGCCCAGGCCTGCCTTCGCAGCTTGCTTTTGGGGCAAATGCTGCCCTCGTGGTCTGCTGTGGCTGATGCAACGTTCTGAGGAGCGCGTTCCTCACCGGGTGACCGTGGACTTGGAGGCCTGTCTCCTGCTTGGCTGCAAGGTGGTCTCTGGGCGTGGATTCAATTCCGGACCTGGGGGCTGACCGAGGAGCACAGGCGCGGGCCCCACACGTCTCTCTGTCCCACCGGTCAGTCCACTCCTGCAACTTAATTCCCTTCCCTTGGGAACCCACCGTGCAGCCCGCCCTGGGGCGCACCAAGCTGCATACTTGGCATTTTTGTGGGCAGTCTGTGGGAGTTCCAGACTGCAGCGACTGGCGTAATCTGATATTTCAGGCAACGTCTTAAAGTTATATAAACATTAACCTTAGAGCAATCAAACCAGGACCAATGCACCCAAACCGCCCTTTTCCCTCCCCCCACCCCAGGATTACTAAAACAGAAGCAGGCACCTAGTATACTTTTGATGAGGAGGGAAGTGAGATCTAACTGTGCAAACTGAAAACAAAAACACACGCACTGTCACTGAGTTGATGTGGACTCATGGACTCACGGCCACCCCACGTGTGATAGACAGGAACTGCCCACAGGGTCCCCAAGGCTGTCAATCTTCATGGAAGCAAAGCCCAAACCACACCCACTGCCTGGAGTCCATTCCGACCCACAGCGCCCCTAGAGGACAGAGTGGAACTGCCCCACAGGGTCTCCAAGGCTGTCAATCTTCACAGAAGCAAAGCCCAAACCCACAGCGTGCAGTGGCTTCTGACTCACAGCGCCCCTGGAGGACAGAGTGGAACTGCACCATGGGGTTTCCAAGGCTGTAATGTTTTTGGAAGCTGACTGCCTCATCTTTCTCCCATGGAGCAGCTGGTGGGTTCAAACTGCTGACCTTTTGGTTACCAGCCAAATGCTTTTCTCACTATGGCACCAGGGCTCCTTAAATACGCACAGGCCCAGTGAATCAGGCATTCTCTGTCAAGTGGCACACGGATTTCGAATGGAAAAAAAAAACTTTAGATTGGTTGGGTTTTCCCAAAAAACAAAAGAAACGTTCCAGTGACTGGATCGACGGGCTGTTATCTTGACTGGGTTTCTCAAAGCGCCTGAGTATTTCTCGTGAACTCCTCAGACATCCACCGCCTCTGGAAGGAAAGACGGGGAGCAAAATGTCATATGTGAGGAAAACAATCTGTGTATCGACAAAGCATGATTATGGATTCTGTACCATTCATTAATGGTTTTGAATACTTTAACTGAACTGAGTAATTATATATCTTTTTTATGAAGCTAATTTTTTTTTTACAATTTGTTATTGTTGTTTATTTGTTATCTAGTCTTTTGTGGTGCTGTTGTCAATTTGACTGCATATCCAAAACACTAAATGCCCTGCCACTAAGTCAATCTCAATCAATCTCAACTCATAGCCACCTTGTAGGACAGAGTAGAACTGCCCCATCAGGTTTCCAAGGCTGTAATCTTTACGGAAGCTGACTGCCTCATTTTTCTCCGCTGGTGGGTTCGAACTGCTGATCTTTCTGTTAGTAGCCCAATGCTCTAATCACTGCACGCCCAGAGTATCAGAAAACCAAAGCACACCCACTGCCATCATGTCAATTCTGACACACAGCAACCCTATGCGAGAGGGTGGAACTACGTCATTCGGTTCCCAAGGCTGTAAATCTTTACAGAAGGAGAATGCCTCATCTTTCTCCTACAGGGTGGTTGTGGGTTCGAACCTCCAACCTTTTGGTTAGCAGGAGAGCACTTTAGCCACGGCACCACCAGAGCCCTGTGACTCCATACAGATCACTTTTAGAAGAACACAAACCTTAAGGGAGACATTGTCCACTAATTCAGCGAAAGTACTGTTTGATTTAAGGACGACTTCAGGGGATAGTTTTGGTTTAAGGTTTAAAGATTATCTCAGGGCAATAGTTTTGGGGGTACTACCCACTTCTGTGGCTCAACAATGTCTGGATTCTGTGAGAACCTGAAACTCTGTTCTGCATTTCCCCCCCTTTTGGTCAGGATTTTTCTATAGAATCTTTGATGGAAATGAAAACCATTATCTTTAAGGAGCTTTTATAATGCATGCAGCCCTTTGGATAGGGCCTCATGTGTCCATAAACTCCAAAGTGGCTGTTCTATCCATTTTCCAAAAAAAGAAGACAGTGATGCAGGTGTGGTTCTCGAAGAGTCTACTTTAGCCAACAGACACGTGTTGCCACATAGGTAACCCCTGTACCCACAATTCCTTTCCCACACGGGGCACAAAGTTCATATATGTAGCAGGACTGGTCACACACGATGCATTTTGTCAGGAAAATAGGATGGTTTGTTAGAAACCCAAACTCCCTCCCCCCACACACGCTCAGTGTTTCAGGGCGGGGTGTTATGCAGACCCACGCTGGGTCAGTACCACGCAAGCGCCACCAGGGGGAGCCCGCGGGCAGGTTTTAGAATTTTCAAGATGAGACAACGGGTATGTGCTCCTGAGTCACGAGGAAGTAGTTCCTGGGTCAAGGAGGAAGTAATCCGTCATGGAGCATAATATCACCGTGGTGGTTGAGGGACCAAATCTTGAGAGAACTGTGTCAAAATTTGAGTTATTCTTTGTAACTCTCTCCCCTGACTCTCATTGTAAGAATGCAGCTGCTATTAATATTTGAGTATCTGAGGAACTCTGGTGGTGCCGTGCCTAAGGCACTTGACTGCTACCCAGAAGGTTGGTGGTTCAAATCCACCAGCCACTCCTCGGAAGGAAGATTGCGCAATCTACTTCTATGAAGACTTACTGTCTTGAAAACCCAAAGGCGGTCACTAGGAGTCAGAATCTACTTGATGGCAGTGGGTTTGGTTTTGGGTTTGGTTTCAGACGGTGACCAGCTACGAGAACCTCTGGCCCCAAGGACAGCTAACTGGATGTAGCCAGGAACCAAGGCTGACCACAAAGCCACTGTGGCTCTCCCCTTTCCCAGAACCCACACTCAGCCTATTAAGTGTTTCCATGAAAACGCTTAGCATGGAGTTTCTACAACTTTGGATTTCTTGGGGGGAGGGGCAGAAATTTCAGATTCAACCCCAATGTTTTTCCTGTAATGAAAAGTTAACGGGAAACAGCAAAACCTCAACCCGTAAGGACTAGCTTAGTGCAAACCCCACACTTGTGATTTTCCAATGTAACTGGATATCCATGGTAGTAAAATCAAACCTTGCAGATCAGAAAAAACAGTTTAAAAGGAAAAAAAAAAAAATTAAAGCATCTTTTGTTAAAACACATATGTTGGTTTCTCTCAAGCTCCTACCCATCAATGGCAAAGTTTCAGATGGAAACTGCATCATGATACCCTGATAGAATGGGAGAAGAATGCAGACAGCACCTCAAATTCTTAAAGAATGCAAACTTACTGGAACAATTTAGACCCTGGGCTCCGCACGACTGCTGCCCTGAGTCAGCTCTCAAATCTTAAACTGAAACTGGCCCCCCTAAAGTCACCTGGTAACCATGTAACAAACTGATTCACAGAACAATGAACTGGAAGTCCTAGTGCTCCTTTAAAAATTACTTATATGGCTTTAAAACACAGGTGAGAAGGGAGGGAGTCGGGGCAACTAGATGAATGGAAACAGAGCAACCAGAAGGGAAATTGTGAGAATGCTGACACATTGTGAAGAACAGAACCAACGTCAGGAAACAACTTGTATCGAAGAGATTGAGTGGGACCCTAAACTGCTGTGTAAACCTTCACTGAAAACAGAAAAGATAACTGAAAATAAATTATGTCATTATACTAGGGATCTGTGTTGGACATAAGGAGAAATAGCATCACTGGTAAAAGACATCGGGAAATATTTTCAATCAGCCTTAAAACGAAAACCAGAATCAAACTCACTGCGGTGGAGTCCATTCTGACCCACAGCGCCCCTAGAGGACAGAGTGGAACTGCCCACAGGGTCTCCAAGGCTGTCAATCTTCACGGAAGCAAAGCCCAAACCACACCCACTGCCTGGAGTCCATTCTGACCCACAGCGCCCCTAGAGGACAGAGTGGAACTGCCCCAGGGGGTATCCAAGGCTGTCAGTCTATATAGGAAAAAAAGAAAAAAAAAAAAACGTTTAGTGTGAAACTTACCATTTCTCCGGAAACAGCTATTCCTCCGATTTTGGGTGAAGTACCTGGTGGCAGCCCCCACCAACGTCAGCACCACGAGAGATACGATAGGGGACACGATTTTCGCCACGGTGCTGCCTGTGGGAACAGAGAAAACCAACGGCTTCTGAGGACAGCACAGCCAGCATGAAAGTCATTTATTTTGAATAACTTCCCAGTCGCACGCCTTCCATCCTCAAATCCTCAGAGAGGGAGCGAAACAAACAGGAAGCCTCAGAAGAGATTTGACTTTCAGAAAGTGTCAAACTGTAGCAGCTCTGGTGGCGCAGTGCTTAAGTGCTGCTAACCAAACGGGCAGTGGTTTCAACCCAGCAACCATCTGTGAAGAAAGATGAGGCAGTCTGCTTCCGTGAAGATTGACAGCCTTGGAGACCCTGTGGGCAGTTCCACTCTGTCCTCTAGGGGCGCTGTGGGTCAGAATGGACTCCAGGCAGTGGGTGTGGTTTGGGCTTAGCTTCCATAAGGATGACAGCCTGGGAGACCCTGTGGTGCAGTTCCACTCTGTCCTCTAGGGGCGCTGTGGGTCAGAATCGACTTGATGGCAGTGGGTTTCTTGGGTTACAGCTTAAAATGGGTTAATCATGTCTGACGTGCCCATGGCAGTGAAAACAGAGCTGTCAGCCAGAAAAGAACGAGAGCCCGTCTCACCGTGCACCAGTTGCTCCCACCTGTATGTGTTACCACGGACTTGATTCCGCCTCATGGAGACCCCGTGTCTGACAGCAGAATCGAGCCCTGGCGTGTTCTGGCCGGTGAGCTTTATGCAAGCAGATCACCAGCTAAACTGAAGCTGCACGGAGAGCCAGGCCCCGTGCACCTGGCCGGGCTGCATGCAGAGACGGCCAGGACAGCGACATGCAATGGTAACAGACTGGGGAACCGAGAGACGGCAACGTGGATTTAATTTTAGGGGTGTTCCAAGCAGATCCTTCCTCAGCACCACTGGGTGGATGGTCTACTTCCCCAAACCAGTCAGTGGACGCCCTGTGGATCCCACCGGTGTGATCCACAGCCCATTGAGTGAATTCCGACCCCCAGCGCCCCTAGAGGACAGGGTGGAACTGCCCACAGGGTCTCCAAGGCTGTCAGTCTTCACAGAAGCAAAGCCCAAACCACACCCACTGCCTGGAGTCCATTCTG